AAAAAAAAACAGGACGAAAGTTTCAGTCATGAAATTCCAGAAAGTGAAGAAAGGCATCACAATTCAGTTGAGAAAAGTGAAAACATGGAATGAAAGACTGTAAAAACTTTTCTGTAGGCCTTGTGGCTTACTAAGAATGTCATAAAAAAAGAACACGTGTTTTTAATAAACGAATCTCGGTAGAACTCATCCCAAAAAACTAGCTCGAAGGGAGAGAGTGCCCAACTCACACTTATACATAATAACAACCCAGTAACAAATCGATGTGGGACAATCATAACTTGTAACACTCATTATCATAACTTGTAACACTCATAACTTGTAACACTCATTATCACATAAACATATTTGTTCGCGTATCGTATAAGCATTTGGCAATTTTTTATCCTATAAAAGCATTGATTGAACACAAAGGTGGTAAAGAAATAATTAAAAAAAATTCATATGGTAGCTATTAGATGTTTGCCAATGATGGAGACAATTCGAGAAGTGAGACAGCCGAAATACACTTTTAAGTTGTGTCCAGAGACTAAGGTTAGAGTTCAAAGTATATGAACTGACCTTAAATGTCATCACATCTGCCAGAAGCATCATATGCCGTATGTCAATGGTCATGCCGTGGGTTGACATGGTGTACTCTATCTCACCAATAATTGTCTGTCTTGCAGCTTCAATTCCAAGTGTCTGCTGTACTTCTAAGATGTGATTACTCGTTGTTTTGCAGCCATCGACTCCATCAATGCCCATGACAGACAAAAGACCAGTCCTGCATGTAGAAACATTGCACTCTTGAGTACCAATTACCGATATAATAATACAGCTATGCGTGTCATGGTACTTCTGGCCATCTCATTCGATAAATAATATCTACATCGTATGTGATATTCTGGATGCAATAGATTGTATACAACTGTCTTAATCAAAAGATGATATGATCAATTTGTAGACACTACATGAGAGTACGAGTATTGTGAAACGTCAGCATATACTGAAAAAATTAGCTGAACAGATGTGTTATTCTTTAACAAGTCTACAAAAAGTTAATATAATTGACAGTAAATATTTATATTTTAATACACCAACAACAAACTGGTGATCTTTTCTGAACTTTATAGATTTCTATTACCGTACATCTATCTGCAATTCTAATGGCACATTTTTAGCTCTTAGGATAGCTAGTTGGCAAGGTCAATACAGCCAAAAATAGTCAATAACTTTTCTAATTAAACCTTCACAGAAACTCCCTCCCATGTCTCAACCTCACATGTATGCTCTATAATAACTCTTAATTGCTACACACAACAATAACTATCTCCTTAATGTTCTTCTGGGAAGGATGATTATATGAGAAAATTTTCTTATTCTATCCTCTGCTTGTGATGGTGTTTATGTGGAATAACGATAGGATAGAGATGGAGCCAGCTCTAGATTTATCACATGGGACACGAACATGTTATGACCTTTATGGCTACGTCTGGCACTCCAATATGTCGGCAATACATACATACATACATATATATACACGCATGAGTAACATGAGTAATTTGAGACTGGTGCAAGAAACTTAGGCCACATGTATAAGATGTAGTACAAGTTGCAATACTAAAGTGCGAATAAATTACAACGCTAGCATGGCATAAGATATGTTAGAATAGTATTTATAGAGATTCCCATTGAATTAATATTGTCACAGTTGCATGTTATTACCACTTCCAAAAATCCAGTTGATATGGCCATAAGTTTAATTTGGTATAAATAAAAATGTATCTTACTGTACCAACTCAAATATTCTTATTTAACCTTGATGGGCCACATGTTTGAGTGTGGTAAAAGACCAAAAACACCATCAAATATCAGAATGAGTCAGGAGAAGGACAAAACCAGTACAGATATATAACTTTGTTATACTAATTAAACACATTACATATTATATTAAATAATAAATAAACGGTTGCTAGATATATATCTAACTGTTTCAGTGTAACAACACATGGATCACGGCCAAGCTACAGCGAAAGGAAATAGAGATTCATAGACAATGAGTATCAACTCACCCCTCTACCAGTAACTTCAATTTTTTGTTGCCACTAGGATCCTTTTCCTTTGCTTCATTTATTATTATAGCACGTTCTATAGAATTTATTCCCTGCCATCAATAGAAGTCACCCAGGAAAAAAGGATGAGAAACAGAGTTCACGTAATGAATACACACAAAAAAACTTGACATCAGATATTAACTTCATATCACATTTACCTTCACAACAACTTTGGCAAGCTTAGCCTTGAGCTCGTGGAGCTCAAATTGAAGTCTACTTCTATCAGACTGCATAACAACTTCCAGCTTTCTGGAATCCAATACCTTAATTTGCTGCAGAAAACAAGAAATATTATCAATAATAATAGAATGGGTTTCCGCACAATTACCCACTACGGAGTAATATTCCAGTCACTTAGACGCAGAAGATACTAATGATGGTTGTGATCCTGCACATGCTCACACACAGCAGGAGGATAAGGAAAATCATACCTGCTCTTTCACTTTAGTTTTCTTATTTTGTAGGATTGATTTTTTCACAGTATGAGCATCAATAGACAGCTGTGCTCCTTGTATTCTTTCCATGTCAAGAGTTATAACAATTGATGCCAACCTAGATGCTTGTGAAGTCTTTATACTCTTAGCTACCTGCAGGAAAGAAACATCTCAGAAGAAAAGAACAACCCAGTATAATTTCCTTATGTAAATCACTAGAAAACATTCGAAAAATGATTTCAATCGTCAAATGCCGAAATTGGAATTATTTAAATGCTTGTAAAGGAAAATTTACAGGATTCGAGTTAACAAGCATTTGAAAGTTCATGGTAGAAAACTGACATAAGACAACACCAAGACTTGGCATTCTGTCTGTGATAAAGAAAAAGCTATAAAATACTAAGCTGGTGCAGAAATATAATGGGAACTGAATTCAGTGCACGATCATAAAAAAAAAAAAAAGTATGGGGATTACCTGCTCAAGAAGAGTTTTCTCAATACGTCCCTTCACCATTTTCGCAATTATGTCATTGTTGTCACACTGAAGGGTAGTAGTAATAATTGGAGTGTTGATTTTTTTAGAAGCATTGATTATTTCTTTTATTCTTGGAACTCCAAGGGTAACATCTGTTAACCAGATTAAGTGGAACATATTGTATGATACAGGGAAAAAAGTGAAAAGGTTGAAACGAATTAGTACAGCATAGCGAAGCATATGTATATATGTATGTATGTATGTATGTATGTATGTATGTATATATATATATATATATATATATATCAGGATACTCATGCTTGCCACTCCAGCAAAATGGAAAGTTTTCAACGTCATCTGTGTTCCTGGCTCTCCAATACTCTGAGCTCCAATAGCACCTATCGCAGTCCCCGGTTCAATTTTTTTCAAATGGAAACGAGAGATGCAGGTTTCTAGGAAGACCTAAAGCAGTAACAAAAAATTTATGAGTTTCAAATGCATTATTACCACATTCTGAACTTGAGTGCATGCTTATGTTGGTTCTGTTTACAATGAATAGGACACCATTAAACAGATATCTTCTCATGCATGAACCCGCACAAAGGCTATTATATATTATATACACATAAATGTGTCTGCGCACATAACATATAATGTTCCACGACTAATCAAATAATGACTTATACAAAATTTCTACGTTGAATTTGTTATCATGAATAACAATCATAGAATTTAGTTCAGGAAATGATA